TCGAATGACTATTCGAATAAACGAACAACTGAATATCATTGAATATCGAATGCAATAATTATTCGAATACTCGCATGCAATATTCGAATATTCAATCGCAATAGTCGATTTGAATATTCGAACAAGGATTTCCGAAACTTCTCAAATATTTGTATAGCTGAATGACTGTCCTTTCAAATTCCTCGCATATTCGAATATTTGGATAATTTATTCTTCCAATTCGTCGGATGAACGAAATATGATATAGAACACTCATCAGCCAGCGGTCCCAAGATTTCAGTGGGGGGGGGGAGAGCTAAAAAAATTTTTTCAAATAAAGGTTGCGTGGCTAACGCCACGCACTCTGAAAATTTTTTTGAGGTGCATCTCAAGATTCTTGCGGGTCTAAAGTCCCCGGAAATTTTTTTAAAGGGCTAATTTGAATTTTTAAAAAATTTATAAAATTATTTTAATAATCTACATAAATAAACAAGTCACTTGAACATTTCTATCACCCAGTAAGTAAATTTCGAAAATTTCGCTCATTCTCGGGAGGGAGGGCTCCCTCTTGGTCCACCACTGCAGCCAGCCGATAGTATTATCAAAATGATAGAGGCGTGTTGATGATTTCATTATGTGTTTTTATCACACATGGTTTTTACATTTTACATATATTCATACTTAAATTATGTTTTGTCAATAAAGCAGTCACCTTCGCTAGTTATCCTATTTAGGAATGCAGCTGGGGATAATCAATTCTTCTAAAGTTTGTATTTCCCGAATAGAAGATGATATCGTAAGTGAAGGTTGAGAATGGGGGGGAGGAGAGTACCTATAGGTATTGTAGTGAATCACCTTGCTTATTGTTAGAGTGAAAAGGCACCATGCCTCTTGACGTGCCTGAACACGTAGGATGTAAGCAACATGTACCCTCGATATCATCCCATATGTCTTCCCTCAACACGTGGATTACGTGGCTTGATGAGGCGCCGCCTCGCCTCGGGCTTGCGCCACGTTGCGTGCGCATTTTCGGCATGATGTGGCAACAAGAAGAACGTGGAAAAGCCTGCGCCACGTTGTGTTGAGCGCCACGTCGCGTCAAATGATGCGCTCGCAACGTGGCGCGAGCCCGAAGCGAGGCGGCGCCTCATCAACCCACGTAATCCGCGTCATGTTGAGGGAAGACATATGGGATGATATCGAGGGTACTAATAGCGGCAGAATGGCAGTGGTGCTAGGGTGCTGTGTAGCCTAGTGGCCTAGTGGTAGGCACTTCGCGTCGAGCAGCGGGAGTTCAACTTCTGACCTAGGCGAAGTGTTTTGCGATGAAGCGTGTAGTAGCTCCTCAACAATTATAGCGGCTCCGCAAGTAGCAGCACTAAACTCCGAGTTTCAAAAACGAAACTCGGAGTTAACTCTGAGTTTCAAAACGAAACTCAGAGTTAACTCTGAGTTAACGCGCAGCTTTAAACTCGAAGTTTCGGCCAGATTACTACCGGCCCTGACTTGCTTTGTGTTAATGCAATGAGTACATTACGGCAAAACAAACTTGAGTTTGAAGGGTGTATTGTGGCCTAGCGGTTTAGTGATGGGATTATTGCCCTAGACCATACATGTTCAAGTTCCAACTCTAACGTCGCTTTTGCAGCAAAGTACGTAACAGCTCTTCAAACAGCAAAACTCCGTGCTCGAGAGTTGGAACTCGGAAGTACGAGAGCGAAACTCAGAGTTAGTTCCAATTATAATAAGTCAGAGTTTCAATAAGCATAACTCTGGGTTTCAAAAACGAAATCAGAGTTAACCTCGAGTCATTTGTAACTCAATATGTGAGATGCACAGTAAAGGGCCGGCATACTTAACGCGATTTGGCAATTCGCCAGAATTTCTCAGATTCAACACTAGCAAACTACACATGCATAGCGTGTCTAACTTACGTGGCTTGATAAAATGCCCTATCTTCTGTACCTTTGAAAAGTGTTTACAGTGGCTATGAACAGTTGAAATATTGCCAAATCGCCTTGCGACTGAAATCGCGTGAACTATGCCCGGCCCTTAAGCCCTATTAGCGACGGCACTCATACTAGTAACTTTCCAGTAAAACATTTTCTAGCCTAACAAAATGTAGAAGTGTGTTTCACTGACTGACATATAATCAACTAAAACAAAAAAAAACAAAGAAACAAGAAGAACTCACTGGAAATGAACAGGTCCTAGTTTCGCATTACGTCAGTTGGCGTTTATAGTGTGCACCACGCATGTTAACACGTTGACGACAATGTGCATTTTCAGCTGTCTGCCTTGTGGGACAATGCCTTCCACGAAAAAGTTGAAAATTTTCAGCTAAAATTGAGCAGATCGTTATCTACAGTGAATCTACGGTAATTTTAAGGAGCAGAAAAGAAATGCGGTAGTAATCTGTAGAATCAGAGCGTAAGAGAAATTCTGAAACGAATTTACCTCAAGATTGTATTCATTTTGACGAATTTTAAGCCGTGACCCACCATGTGGGTCACATTGTCCCACGTGGCAGTCATTGCGTGACCCACCATGTGGGTCACGCTGTCGTCAATGTGTTAAGTTGCAAATGACTCGACGATATCTTTGAGTCAACACGGAGCTTTAAACTCGGAGTTTTGACCAGATTACTACCGACCCTGCTTTGCATGAAGCAACATTGGCAAGTGCTCACTCACAAAGGAAGGATACTGAGTTGCACTGGCCAAAACCAAGGAGATGTATATCATTAGAGTCCCTGCGAGACACTGGTATCATAACCTGCTTCCCAAATCTGCGAAATGATCTTTTGAAAGATGTTGCGGACCTGGATTAAAGGTTTTGCCAAAGTTGATTACGACTACTCATCAGCAGTTAGGAACTTAATAGCGCATTTGAAAGAACAAATGACTATCAATCGTGCGGCACCGATTTCGAAACTTGTGAGTAAACATCACTTTCATTAGTCTTTGATTTTTTCAGTTATTTAGTATTCATTACAGCACTTTTCTTATGTTTGAGTTCCAAAGATTGCACTCAAAGGATGGTGAGAGACATTAATAAATGTTTAGCAGTTATAAAGGAGGCGCTGGCAATAGCAATAAAAGGAACAACTACGGTTACAAGGACGCGTGATATTTAATGTTTATAAATAGCAAATGCTTGCAAAACGGACAAAGTGTGCGCCTGCTTCATCGCACCTTTATACAACACAGAATGTATTTGTGGAAGTGCAGTCATAACAAAAAATAACTGATAGAAGCAATCAAAGTGATTTATAGATAAAAAGCGAAAAGCTGCAAGAACGCAAAGCTATGCTTACCTATAAAATTCGAATCAGGTACTTTATGTGTCTCCAGAGAACCTTAAAGGCAGCGTCCGGGCAAGATCCACCCACCCAGACTAGCACATTGTTGTAAAGCGGGCCTCATGAGTATCCGATCTGCGAAGGTCGATGCTTGACGTTGCCTCTAAAAGGAGATATGGGTCTGTGATACGTATCACAAATCGTCCCTCGTATCACAAACCTCCCCTGAGGACGTGTGCTCACGCATCGATCAATTCTGAATTGCAACTGCATTCATGCAGTTGCAGCTCCTCCTCGGTGGCGAGCCGGGGGGATAAACAATCCGGAACTCGTCCGCGCCCTCAAAACAGGGTCTCCAGGGATGGTCTTTAAGGGTTTTGGACAACTTGAACTTTATAACTGTAATCAGGGCCACGGAAAGGCCCTAGAACGACAAAAACATGAGAGGCGAAATTTTGCCCGGACGCTGCCTTTAATAGCCTTCATTTCCCTTCAGAACTTCAGTGCGACTCACAACCAGCCTTGACGTGTTAGACACTAATCATAACATGATCATTGATAACTGAAAAGGGTTTTGCTAGTTAGTGTTATCAGTGCAAGTTTTTGCTTCTCATCCTGCAATAAGGACAAATATTTATGAATAACGCCTATTAAAGAGAAACTTGCGGGTAGCAAAACTCCTCCAACGAAAGTTCTGTTAGATTTGCTGAGTACAGCATTTTACCCATGATCCTTTGCCTGCTGCTTTCTTCAGTTGCGCACGAATATATTAGGGTGAACGGTAAAAAATGAAACCGCTTGATTTCTATTACATTTTAAGATTTTTTGTACTCATCAATAAAGCAGGCTGCAACTCAAACGTCGCTTACATAACCGACCTCCGCCTATTATTCTGGCAACGCGTTACCGCTTCTCTCTTATAATCGTACGCGTGGCATCGTGAAGAACTCCGACAGGGTTTTTGAACAACTCTCAATCTTGCACTGCTATACCGTAAAGTCGTAAAGCAAATGACATACCATTCAAAAAAGCTTTTCATGCTCAATTAGGCAATATGTTAAATGCCTAAGATTTCTTTTCAATTCCAAAAAAAGCGAAAAAACCTGAAAAATAGCTATTTCTGGCGCAATAAAAAACCAAAAAATCATGTTTTGCCCTATATTCTCCGGAAATAGACAAAATCTGAGGCAAGCTGCATTTGTGTGGATAGAGCGCAAAAAGCTCTATCAGATAGTACCTAGAAAACATGCGTTCACCTGCAAAGAATTGAATAGCGTGTATCTTCGTTCTCCAAGCTGCTAATAGTCATATCTCCTGACTTTGGAAGTTGAGGCCACCAAGCCGACATGGATTGGTGACTGTCCCACCATCCACTCCAGCAGTGGTACTTTGGGTGGTCTCACATGTTTCACTGCGCAGATACTGCTCAAAGTTCATAATAGCTCATATAACATTGGTAAGTGAGAGCGTTATAGCAAGAGCAATGCTACTGTACTGTAAAATCACTTGTTAAAAAAACTTGTGTAGCTTGTTAAATTGATTCATGATTAATTTTGCGTGATACAGGCCACTCAATGGAACTTAGAGCACAAAGATCATTGCGAACAGATTGGCGGAATCTATGATGAATTTGCACTATACTTCCTATGATTGCCAACGAGCTAATAATAGATGTGAAAGCATTGAGCAAGGACCGATGCACTTGAGTATGATACATTAAATGGTCATTGACAGTCAGTATAAAAATATCCGCCTCGAGTACAGAGCATTCAACGAAATGCTCAAGTGTTCTACCCTTCTGACAGTATGTTAAGTTCAACGAGTCTTCTTCCTTACGTAAGAAAAACGGTTGCAGTCCGTGTTGGCCGTGGCGTGCTACGAAGTCATGAAACTCGAAGAAAATGATGCTAAAGAGAATGGTTTGATCAAGTTCCTGCAGGAGCATGCTGGAGCAATACGGGAATACGAGGTTAGTTCATATTCCTAAGTTCGAAGAGAAGGTTGTCGAAGATGTCTAAAGAAAATCTGATAACGAAACAACTTTGACGAGCAGTCTAAAATATACTTGTGAAAAGCACCCCATGAATAATACCGCTTGTAATTTGTGAAAAAATTGGCGGCGGCGCTTAACTCAGGCGGCGGCCACCGAAGCTAGGCGGCGAGCACCGAAGCTAGGCGGCGAGCACCGAAGTTAGGCTACAAAGTTAGGCGGCGGACGCCTAACTTCGGCAGCCGCCTAAGTTTTTTTTAGAAATCGTCTAAATACCCTTATCTTGATTCAAAGTTTACGAATTCTAAGAGTAACATTTAACTCAGCTCGGTGAGGCGCATCTTCCGGTATATAGTTGTGTCTAGTTGTGGGGTGAGATGTCAGTTTCACTTTTTTTTTGAAATTTTAGCTCGAATGTTACTCAGTGTGTTCAAAATCCACATTCTGTTGAGCATACCGCAAAGATATATCCGTGCAGAATAAGCTCTCTCTTCTTACCGTACAGTACCCACACTAATTATTCGACGGAAACGCAAAAACTGACGATCCGCGTTTATTTCGTTTTTTTTCATAACTTTCTCGAGATTGCATAAAACACGAATTCAAAGAAAGCATGATGTTCAGCTCGTCAAAATGAATCTTTTAATATACTACACTCTTTTACTATTCCGTTTTCAGTCTGCTCGATTTTTTGTGAGGACGGGTTTTCGTAGTGGTGTAACTCAGCGGAAAACACACATGTAAGATTCTGGTAAACATGATTCGGTAGAGCTGTTTCCGTAGATTATCACGCGCTAGCGAGTAGCGAAGGACCCCCTTTTGTAGAGAAAGACCTAGTCTCGTAAACTGCATTTCGTCGTCGATATCGATTTATCAACTTTTTGCAAACTTTGAGCTACAGTTGTAAGAGTTGGCATAGGGATTAAGCAAGCATGCTTGTTAGAATTATTGATTTATATATGTGCATAAACATACTATCTGCAGTCAGAGTGATCTGTAACCATTCGCGGCGATATTTGGCCAAAATATGCGATTATAAAATTTCGAACGATTTTCATGAGGATTCGAAATCTCAAAAAAGGATAGTGAATGTGCATCAATTTTACAAAGCACATGAGCGTTTGCGAATTCAAAAACCACCTAAATTATTCTCTTCATTGGAAGCGTTCGATAACATGAATGATGAATTTATATCCAAATAGTTCACTAAAGAAAGCCAACAACTCTCGTTTTAAAAAGGAGAAAATGCTGCACGAATGGTATCTGAGTTGCTTGCCAGTGGATGTTCTATGATGATTGAGTTGACCGAGTATAAAATTTGATGGCATCCAATAAATTCCTATCAAAGAATTATGGTGTGTCATGAGAGAGAAGGGACGCGGATGATTTTTCGTATCCTCTGGGGTTCGCCCTAATCATTGGTAACTTGGGCTTTTCTCGGGAAGTCGATAAAAAGATTGGAAGACCAAGGCAACAAGAGTCACAGGTTATGGTCATTCTTTAAGGTTACTTTGCCTAACTGCAAAGTCAAAACCATCCAAAAGAGGATGAAAAGTGTATCAAATGCAACAAGTATTTCCGAGAATCTTTGATCTATGGGATGTGGCGCTTTCGATTGAAGCAATTACTTTTGAAACGACCGAATACTTGCTCGCTTTGATCCTGCGCAACTCGGAGTGCTATTTTAGTACAATTCCGATCTGGCAAATAAAGCCTATGGATATCTCGACTGTGACGATCTGAATTGCGACGAAAAAATTCCACATGATGCTGTACTTGTTCTTGGTTTCTACAGGTATGTACTACAGTGCCTTGTAGTTTTTTTTCCACATCAGTGGTCTTTAGTCAAGATGGAGAGGTGCAGACTGTCATTGATGGCGTCAAAAAGTACTGGAAATCCTCGGAAAACCCTGATTCGCTTCAACAGAAAAAGGAACAAGTGAGTTACAGATGTGTTGTACTCTCGATTCGTATGAGAGAGCCTCATACGTTAGCCAACATAAGTTAAAAGAAAGGGAACAGTATTGATTACAGCACTGCAGTTGAAGTAAACTGAAATGAAAATGAAGTGTTGGTGGGGGGGGGGAGGGGGAGGGGGAGGGGAGGGGGGAGGTGAGAAAGGTTTTCATACCAAAGTCTGCACTTGTTTCCCACCCCAAGTACGCGTCTACCGCCTCTCCCCAAATGTTCTGTTTCCACTATAGCTTAGTCATCTGATGTTTGGAAATTAGTATTGGTAATAAAACGATGCCTCCGATGTTTACCATTAGTTTGAAGTTGTGCTCATGACATGAGATTATGAGAAAAGATTGCAATGTGTAAGGAAAGTGAGCTTTCTTATGAGACCAGCATCCCCTTAAGGCAGTTACCGGGATAAGCGGATCCGAATCGAGCTTGCAAATAGAATGAAATTTCAGTGGGTTTTCCTTACTTTGAGAAAAGTGCACTCAAAGTAGCTCGTGGTGGGCAGCTTTCCGACCTTCGGTTCTAAGGCTAGGTTCATAATAATCCGTAAGTTCGGAAATAGTTCTAGCAAAGCGCACAATTCGAGCGCGGTGCTGGAGCTGTTCCGGAACTTACAGATCAGTATGAATTTAGCCTAACATGTCCTTAAAAAAGCTTTCCTCTGTGCAAAGTGTTTGACCCTGTTACTCGTCTTTAATGCTAGTCCGGTACACGAACAATAAGGCTTTCAGGAATTTCAAGCGAGTTTGAGGCGATAGGGCAGGGATGGGAGGTTGTGGGTTAGGAATACCGCGAACGAAACCGGGTAAGAGATTGACCTAAAGGGCAGCGTTTTTTGTCCCATCCAAACCATCCTAGGGTTAGGTCCTTCCTTTGGGAAGATTTTGCGTAAATTGGACGAATGCTCCGGCGCTAATCTTGTCAAAAGCAAGCAAGCGATATTGTACAATATGCGTAAACGCATTAATGATTGGAGTGATTGCAAAGGGGGAGACACACCAGAGTGGGAGGTCAATAACGGCTGAGTTCGAGGCCACTTTTCTTATCCAAGGCAATGTTGGAAGACTAATCTGCAAAATTCGATGTGTTACAAAAGAGATCCGAGTCGCAATGGCGTATAGAATAAGTTTATAGTTCATTCGTTGACCGCACGGACTCGACCTCACTATGGAGCACGCGCCGTGAGTAAAACGCTTGCCCCAGTACAAATTCGCCATTGTACAAATCGTGTTCTCGAACCATCTTAGCCGCGCCGCGTGGTCCGCAGCGTTGGGGCAGTCCCTGCTGGTAAGAAATCAACATACATTATCAGAGGCAGTGTCCGGGAGGGAAGTCGATTTCTAGAAAATTTATTAAGCGGGGGTTTTCCGCAAAGCAGTATCCAAAATCCACACTATGAAGCCCGAAAACGGAGAGAACATGCGTTTCCCAAAGCCTTACAAAGCCGACAAAGGTCGCCGATTTTACCTGTATATGATCATCGATCGAAGGGCTGCTATACTCCTCGAAAAGTATAGCAGCCCTTTGATTATATACGTGTAAAATCCTCAAGGAATATAGCGCCTGCTTTAGCCGCTGTGATTTCAAAACAGTCCATGCTTACCGCGTTTACCGGCTCAGTTCCAGAACTCCAACTTTGGACTTTTTAGGGAGTCCAGATGCTAAATAATATACTCTGGACATTTAGTTGAGCTTCGCCCCACTTGTTTTCGGGCGTCTTTGCGAAAATAAAGAAAACGTCACATCTGCAAAAAAAATGATACGTGATTGCGCAAAAGGTTTGAAAAAAAAACTGGTTTTTGAGGTTACAGAAACTATCATCAACTCCGGTTCTATAACGTATATAAGCCGTCGCTCCGGAATATAGAATTTGAAGATACTGCCATGAAAATGAGCGCTTATAAACGTGGGAGTTGTAACGATTGATCCGCTAAGCTTCGAGAAGGGCGAAAAAAGCAGCTATCCGATGGTGGAAAACAAGCCGCGTTGAATTTACCCAAATTGCTTAACGGTCATTTTAAGAATCTGAATTCAATCACATGAAAGAATCGTTCTCCAAATCACTGAAGAACGAAAGAATTTGCTTGAATTCAAAGGCAATGAAAGTCAGAATTAGTTGAGTTTGACGTGGCCAAAATAACGGGTTCTCATCTGTGAATGAGCTACTACGAGGACAACTGCATAAATGTTTCCTCTTTACTGTAGCGCGCTTAAACTATCTGTATCGAGAGTGAATATGTAAAAATTCATTTATCATGAAACCCATAAAACCAGCTTTTTTTGCCTAGTTTTTGGGCTCAAATTTTTGCAAGCATATCCTACAAACACGTAGGTTCACTACACACGAAGAATATTCATCTGAAGATCGCACGTCATACATTTAGCCTTGGTCTCCATTATGGGCTTTCTTCAAAGTCAAAACAAAACCAAATGTGCTGACCATGAACTCCAGTTCAGAGAGCGATCAAAACTTTTCTTGTTAGAAAACTCCTGAGAAAGACAGGCTTGTTGACAGCTGAGGTTTTCCATTCCTCCTTGGATAGCAAGAGGTGTCCTTGAGGATGTAGTCTGCAGCAGCTTCTTACCAAAGCTACAAAGTACATTCTATGTGCGACTCAAATTTTCGCACGTCCTCTGCTGTGAGCCTTACTTTTTGATGTTTTGTAGAGAAAAAACTTCTTGACACAATATATTTGAAATCCTGAAAGTCAGCATTATTCGGTGAATTTCGACAAAAGTTCTCATTCTTACAGGAGCAGGAGAAAGTCTTGAAACAGAACCAGAGCTAACCTCTATAAGAAAGAGGCAACGCTCTGGTATCACTGTTGCGCACGCCCTCTGCCGCCTTGCTTCTAGATTGTTAATCCCTTTTATTTTCAAAATAATCGGGTTTTTTGCTATAAAAATTAGCATTATATTTATAATTATAAAAATCAGCGACTGACATCTTCTTCATAATCACAACAATGTGCGTCCGTGTTACGTGCGCAATAAAGAATAATTCATAAGCTGGCGTAGTGAGGTTTGGGGGTGCTGTAAATGCTGAGTTATCCCTGAACGTTGAAGAACGGCTGTAAGTAATCTATGCATTGAGGGTCATGTTTTTTGTGTGAGAATATTCACTTAGTCTTGTGGGCGGGGGAGAGGGTTGCAATATGACCTTCATAAGTGGTAAGGTTGGATAGCGTACAGGTATGCGAGCTTTTTCTTCTTGTTCAGCAATTTTCGGTCAGATCGCCTTCCCAGCTTTAGAAAGCGCTGATTATTCTTTTGGTCAAGTGAGGACATCTTCAACCCTTGACTGTGGCATTTCTCTACCAGCAGACTATTCTAATTAGTCTCATTTTGACGTATAAATGACAAAAGTCGTCATCCGTCAAATATGTGCAAGAAGCTTTTCCAGATACAGAAGGAGTTGAAAAACGCTCGGTCGTTCTGCCCTAAATTTCATTTTTGCAAGCTGACAGACTGAAAGCAAACAGTTTTGTCTCAAAAGTGAGTACGATTGAAAAACATAATCTTTCAATAGTGAAGCAGTTTGTCGCAAAACCGCCGTATCCCTCCTTCTGCTTAACTCTGTGTGGAACTCTCCGAGATTATGCGTAGTGATTACTTTGACTTGCTCTGCGTCATATACAGTAATTGTTGTGTAGTCGCAAAGAGAACCTACCATGTGAAAAGAGAATATCATTTTCCTCATCAACATGTCGACCCCCCCCCCCCTTCGACTCTTGCAATGCTGGGATGCGAAACCCACATGCAGAACTTCCCATTGCGCAAATATTCAATTCAGCACCTGATTTGAAGGTTGCGATATCAAACTCTCTGGTGCTGAAAGCGTGAAAAACATACTTTACCGCATTCTGTGCCTGCACCTGGTGATGTTCCAACCTTGGAAAGCATGAAGATTGTGCGTTTGATACATAGTCCTCCAAATTACATAGGTCCGAAAATAGGTGCGCCACACTCAAGGAAGAAAAATTCACAGGGAAAATTTGCAGGACTGTCAATCTAACGCAACGATAAGCAGAAATTTTTTTTTATTTGGCCAAAAATGAGGCTCCTAAAATGTCAAGGTTAAGGTTACGTTAACCGCTGAATGGTTTTCTTAGCGAAGCTCTCACTCACTACGCATCTAGCATTGGTCGTAGACTGTAGTTGGGATTGAGAATCTGCTTATGAGAAGAGCTACGTAACCTGTCAATGTGCATAAGAACTTTATTTGTTTTCTTTCGATTTTTGCAGCGCATAAACAATTGTTTTTGAAAATCAAACAGGCACTGATCACCATCATTTAGGTAAAATCAAAAAATTCGGTCGGATGTGGATACGGGTTGTATGGAGACTACGACTACTCTGAAGACGAAAGCAAAGAACCCGAAAGAAACGGTCTTTTTGTATGCTTATTCAGTAACACCCAAAAATAGTAGAAACTTTACAAATAATGTGATAAAGAATGAAGAGCCAGATTGATTACTTAGATCCGAATTTTATTTGTTCTATTCTTTTCAACTAGCCGACTAGGATACCCGACTTTGCTCGGCACCACATATCATCGGCTCCCAGATTCGTGTGGAGGTGGAGTCTTGCCAACTCACCGCGTTGCGGTTTTGCTAGCGAGAGATTACGAAAAGCAATGCTATGACGTGGAGGTTTAGCAAGTTTACATGTGTTACCAGGCAAAGTCTTCAATACACCTCCACACGAATCTGAGAGCCGATCATACTTCGGTTTTAAAGAAGCGTAGTATTTCCCCTAAGAAGAGGAATGCAACTTTATAAACTTCAAAGTAAGAGGAATAATGATGGACAGACGGCGTTAAATCAATTCTCCAAAGTTCCAAAAAGTTTCCTTTTAAGCTGCACTTCTCTCCCCGACGAAATGTTCAGACGCGGCCTCAGTTGTCTTTCTTTGGCAACTAACGGTTTCCACTTTCACAGGTAATAGGTGTCAAGCTTGGCGCTTTGAAGGCAGTGTCTCACCAAAATTTGGCTATCGAAATTATTGCAGACCTTTTCGTCCCTGTCTAACTCAGTGCGAGTC